ATTAAAAATACCAAAAAATAAGCCTTCTAAACCAACACATACAGTTCACAATAATCCCAATTCGCTTTCAATACATTAAAAATAGAAGATCGCAACAATTAATCGTAAACCGGGAACGCGTGATAGTTACAAACAGTATAGTTATGATAGTTACCATCATTAAAATTTTGAAGGTTCTTAAACAAAACTGGCAAGTGTTTTTGAACTCTAATCTAATTTATTCATTCTTGAATTCATAAGCCTGCTACAAGCTTTAACAAAAATGATGAGTTCCATAAAATAATCTCAATGATCCTGTATTTTTGTGATTAACATTGACAGACTCAATATATTTTTCCCTAAAGAGCAAAGGAATACAAAAATCACTATTTTTCTTTATAATTTATTGCAAAACTGTTTTGTTACCATTTTTAATATTTTATTTCCATTGGAAATTTTTTCAAAAATGGTTACTTTTATTTATTCACCGATGATCATTTACCAACTTTGAACAGAATATCATTAAGGCACTATAAAATTAAAAGTTAGTTATAAAATTGTAAATGATTTTTTATATGCTTGATTTCTTTCTGTTTTCGATTTAAATTTTACTTTACTATTATAACGTATCTAAGCCTTCTTCCACCCAATTAAAATTTGTAACTTTCACAAGTTTGTAATTTAGCTTTTGTGAAAACCTTTCATCCGCACTACTTCACTTTGTAATACTTCGTAATATTAAAAATCTAAATAGAAAAATGCCTTATACCAATTAACTATTTATTTAAAGTTTAAATGGTTTAAAAAGGCAATCTAATTCATTATTTATATTCCAAGAACATAAGTCAAAAGCTACCATGAATGAAATAAATTTTATTTCCTGAACAATAAATAAGTAGAAATATGGCGTATTAAAGTTTGGCGTATAAAAAAAAAATAAATTCAACTATGTGTTTAAACTTTTAAATGCATTCCTTAGCGTATTCAGTAACATGCGCATTTCTCGGTCAGCGGTCCCTCCATGACAGTACTGTCGCAGCCCAAAACCAGAATAACAAAGTCGTCTTCATATGCAATAGCAAAGTCGTCTGCGTCACATCGAGTTTCACCAGAACCTCATTCATGACCATAAGCCACAGCAACTTAGGGACATTCCTCCTTAGGGCGTTTTTCTACTGATGTGCTTAATCACTTTGTTGCCAGCCAGTTCCGAAAAAAGTATTCTAAACTGCGGCATCGACACTACCCAACGAACAACCCGTATCTCCACACCAAACTTGACTAAAGGCCCGTGAATGGCCCACGGGCTTACATTACTGAAGGTTTCCTCCACATCGACGAAGGCTGTCAACTAATGGCTGGACCCGATACGCCCGATACGCATTCATTTTCATTCTAAAAGCTAATTAGACCCCATTCTATATCGCATCGTCCAAGACACCAAAGCTTTCAAACCAAAAGAGGATAGACTAATCGGTCTAAAATCCTTTAGATTTTTATGGTCCCTACTTCCCTATTTTGGAATGAAGATCATTTTCACATGTTTCCATAATTTGGATACGTGGCACAGTGAGAAGTATCTTGTAAACACTTTCAGAAGCTATTATACATTCCTTAGTCTTTTGCATACGATGAGAAGTTTTCCACAGCCCCAATTCTGTTGAACCGGCTCGATTTTTAGTTTTGCCTGTTAAAATATGCCAAAACTCATTCGGTCCGAGAGCCTCTAAACTTTCTTCGCTTTTTATGAGTAGGAAGGATTCGCTGTTCTTTTGAGGTTCCTCCTTTTCGAGGACCTTATCTCAAACTGCAACTGGTTAATTATCATGATATTAAAAAAAATAAGGTAAACAAACTAAGGAGTGGGGTTTTCGTAGGAGTTTAAAATTATTATTTCAATTATTTAAGCGAAATTCTCTATTTAAGGCATAAGAAACCTTTAGTTTGATCTTAATTTAACAAGCACAATTTATTTCAAGTAGCGAAATTTATATTAATTTTAAATATGCGAACATTTTAATAATTAAAAAGAAAACTTAATTAAAACACTTTCTTAAAAACACTATCACTGAAAATCACTTAAAATTAATTGAACCGTAAACTTGAATAAAATGAAGAAAAAACAAATTTTTTAAATTTAAAATTTACACGTTCCTTTCTTTTTTAATATAAATATTTCATTTTCGAAATTTAATTAGTGTAATTCAGGTACTTTTCACATACATATTAATGATTTTAAATCTTTTGTAGTTCTCTTTTACTTAAATCACCCGAAAAATGAAAAAAATTTCACTCTAATTTTACTTTCAAATATTACGCTTATGAATTTTTTATTTCAATTAAAAACGTAAAAGGCTCAACTTATAATAAAATAAAAGAAAAAAATCAAGTAAATCCTATAAAGTAAAACCGATTGACAGAGGGCGCATTATAATTTTTTGTTTTTCTTGAAAAGTAAAAAGAATTTTTTTTCTGTTATACCCATCTCAACAATCGGCATAATGATACCGGATTAACTAAATGTAATATACTGTGAAGTAGAAAGAGAAAAAACAAATAACAGAAAAAAAACAAATATGAAAAAAAAAATTTGTATACAAAAAAACCACTTATCGTACTATCCTTTTTTATCCTTAATTAATTTCTGGAATTAAAATAAATGAAAGCCAAAAAACAACAGCAAAAAAAAAACTAAAATATTTTGAAATGCGGGTAGCTATTCAAAAGAATTTTTATTTAAATATTTATCCGAAAAATATGCAAAATTAAAAATAAAAATGAAAATTTTCATTTTGATTTTTATACACTACCATATTGCGCATTGGTGATGGTATGCTCTTAACAGAATAACACATACACATATATTCTCTTCTCTACATTTAATTTAATCAAACCCACAAATTTTAAGTTTTTCACCTTTATTTTCACTTTTATTTTTGCTCAGTGCACCTTTCAATTTTAAAAATAAAAACAGTGAAATGATGATGTCCTTTTTTAAAGTAAACAACTTAAGCGCACAATTTTAAGAGATACATAAGCACTAAAAGAGAAACGAGTGTTTCACTAATTTTCAATCTCATTTTCTTACACAATCAAACATTTTCAATGCATTCTGCTTAATTAAGAAATAATCTCATAATCTTGATTAATTAAATTTTTTAATGCAAAAAATAATTAAGTTGAAGCAAGAAGATTAAATTAAGATTTGTTGGAAACCAAATCGAAATTGACTTTTCATGTATATGTGAGATTCTTAATTTTAATTGCAATATAATAATTTAATGCAGTTTTGAAACAAAATAGAGGTACGTACCTTTATTTAGCCTTTATTATCAAACTGCTTTCGAATGCCACTGCAGACTACACAATCTACAAGTTTTATTTCAGACGATGATTATTATAACTTCATTATAATCGTCATACCTTTATGTTGTAAACTCTTAATTTCTTTGGTATTACTGAAACACTCTATATTGTAAATAAATACGTAAAAATTTTCATGATTATTTAAACATAAGCATATTCCCAAATAATAAAATAAAGTTTGTATAAAGAATTCAAAAAAAAAAAAAACAAAGACTTAATTTTAAATATTCGTCCTTGTGAAAAAAATTTAATTAAAAGTTAACTGAATAAATTTTACTAATTTAAAGTTAATTTTTTATTAAAATTTTAGAGAAAATGAAATAAAGGTAGATGAATAGTATTGTTCACGCCCACTCTGTTATACCTGTATAAGTGAACAATTGTAAGAAATTTGTGATAACTACCACCCTGCCACCTGGATTTATACCACCTATTTGTATTCGAGTGCATACCTGCCATCCGAATTTATTACCACCTATTTGTATATTTAAGCGGGAGCCTTATTGCTATATTGTCCTTTATTTCAAATTTGATCCAAGGAGCTCCAGGCGGATTATGACCAGAAAATTATAGGGATGAGCAAGAATTGGGTGAGAATTCTCGCCAGGGTCTTGTCGGCTCAATGCAGACTTAGGGTGCACCTCATTCGGCTGGTACTGGAAAGTGGAGACACTTGCAGATTCTGTGGGGAGGATGAGACCTCAGTGCGCACTCTTAGGAAGTGTGAGGCTCTCGTTCATAGGAGAAGAGAGGCGCTAGGGGGGGCTTTACTCCCACGGCAGCGAAGTTGCGATCTTCCGGGCCTTACAAGTTGTTTGAGTTCATCAGGAGGGCGGGCCTCGCGAGTGTGTTGTAGAGCATGCTCCGAACTCAGTGGGGGGCATACAATATATTTTTATACGTGGTCGCGGTGCACTGTTACCGCTGCTGTACAAATCTACTATGTAGAATATTATATGATATCTCTGTTAGTTGAAATATTTTTTAAATTTAATTATTATTGTGAGAAACAGTATAATAAACTGAACAAAAAATTCATAATACTTTCAAGATTTACATATGAATGTTATTTATGTATGGATAAAAGTATAATAATAGATTTGGATTAATTTTATAAATTCTACTTTGAAGTCTGGAAGCTGTAATCATATTTATTCCCTATATATGTATATACATTAAAATATATCCAAAAACAAAATAAAATTTAAAAATTTCAGAAATTTTAACTGTAAAACTAAAAATAATAAAAACAATAACAACTTAATCTATACAAAAGAACAATATTTATAATTCACGTACAATTTCAAAGCAATATTTTCTATATTACATGGCGTATAATATAAAATTTATAGAAAAGAATAATATTATTGAAAAAATATATCAGAAAACAATTTTAGTGGCAATATTTTGAAAATAAACAAAAAGAAACACAAAATAAATTTTGTTAACAAATTACGTAATCAATATTCTGATTTTATTTTAATTCAACAATTAAGAAGGCACTCTTATACTTACAACGCAATATACAAAATAGAATTCAACTAGCAAAATAATTTTGCAAATAATAGAAATCAACTTTACTTGTACTCTATTTATATATGGTATATATGTATCTCGTCTTTTCTGTGATATTTAATATGTACTTTAAACTAGGAAACTAAACGAAAAATAAAATACAATTTAAAAACCCATAATTTTCTACAAATAAACAATAAAATTATAAAAACCGGAAAATAGCAATTAAATTTTTCTCTCCTTTGCCGAAATTAATCGAAATGCGGCCGAAAAATTAATCAAAATTCAAACAAAAGAAAATATTTTGCTCAAAATAATAAAAAAAAAGTCACCTAACCTAGTCAAAATAATTACGAAAATAAACGGAAGCATCGAAGAAATTCATATATCATCTGGCAATACTAACATAATAAATGACCATTAAAACAAATCCGTCCAGAAAAATTAAACTCAGATCACAAAACTAAAAATACCAATGGAAAATTTTTTTTTATTAATTGTAAATTAGAACCACAAGAAAAAAACCATCTAAATGGCAGAATACAACGTTAACTATAAATTATTCAATTCAAAAAAGTATTGCCAGACTAGAAAAATATCTAAAAAATTCATTGTTTCAATAAAAAGATGATACAATTTTATAAATGTACAGAACCGTTTCAAAAAGTAGTGACACACAAATTGACTAAAACTTTTCAAAAAATAAAAAAAAAATCATAGAAAAAGTGTGCAAAATTTGTGAAAAACACAAAAAAAAAAATATCCGAAAAGCAATAAAATCCGGAAACAAAACTTTAAAAAAAAAAAATTTAAATTAAAAAAAAAAAACAATTCCTGCTATTTTAGATACCTTTTTTGAATTTCACTTAATAAAAGGGAAAAAAAACAATTCTAAATGCAGTACAACCACCGTCAGCTTGTTAATATCAAATGCTGTCGGTTGTTTTAAGTTTAACAACGATAACAATGAATCGAGGGGAGCAAGAAACTCTCTTCAGGCAGTCACATAATATCAGACTGCTACAAAATGAAGCAAAAGCTGTACGACAGTTATTAAATACAAATTTTGATGGTGGTGGTAATTTAAACCGTTTTGGTACAACATTATCACCAACATCAACTATGACATCATTACAAACTGCATCAGCAATACAACAACAGCATCAACGTAATCGCGGTTTTTCATATGGTAATATACATCAAGTTAGTAATTTATATTCACAATCATATAATTCACGTTCATTTGGTGAAGATAGACCATTTGGTAGTGGTCCATCAGATGATTTAGTATTATCTGTATTAAAAACACCACTTAAAGAATTACCCCAACCATCAATAGCAACAACAATGACAACAGCAACATCATCAACAACACCAAGTCAACATTCATGCGCATATACAGCATTACAAGGTTCTGAAGATGAATTAGTTGATGATATTGAATCAGCTGCAACACCAGATATATTAGAAACAAAAAATCATTATCATCATTCAAATGAAACACATCATCATACATCATCATCGAAATCACCATTTAATTTTTTAAGAAGGTTTCGTCCCGGACGTGGCGGACCACGTTTTGAAGCACATCATAGACGTGTACCGACACCGATTCGCCGTAAGAGTCGTGGTCGTAATAAATTAGATACCGATGATATATTAGATAAATTAGCAGCGGAAAGAGATGGTAAGTGTTAAAAATTATTAATTACAAATTTATTTTATTAAGAATGTTGTTTTGTATTTTGAAAATTTCTGTAGTAAAATTTAAAGAAATCAATTTTAATCAATAATCCTTTATAATCGAGCATTTAAAATTAATAATAAAAATTTCTACATTGAATTTATCAAATTAAAGATGATCTACAAAAGAACATTCTTAATTAAAAATTTTATTGAAATTTCTTATAAAATTTTTATATAAAATCAATAATATAGATGACCTTGATGGAGCTGAAGAAAATGATCCAACATTACCACAAGATCCGACTGCACCAACTGGTATACCAGATCCATATTATCCTATTGCACTGCCAATTGATCAAGCATTCAAAGCCAAATATGTTTTCCATCATCGACGTGGTAAAACATTTCAAGAAAAATGTTATGTATTCCTTGAACATCCTGGCGGATGGTGTTGTTTTATGTACCATTTTTCAGTGTGAGTTATTTTTTACTTTATATATATCTGTACATATGAAATATATTTATATAATATAAAAATAACAATATAATAATGTTATAAAATAAGCAAAAATCTTAATAATTTAATCTTATCCTTGATTCTAAATAACTATGTATATAAATTGATCTATTTTATAACTATAGTGTAATTTAAATTTTTAATCAACTTTCTACTGTTTTAATAGAGTCTATAGAATCTTACATAAATAAGCATTATACAATATTCTTTAAGTTTAAAACAGCCCAGTCGGATATTTTAACAATAACCCAGTCTGATATTTTAAGATAAAGAATTAAAATTTCGTATAACATGTAGAAATTTTAGAAAATTTGAAAATTTTTTGCATTATGTGATGAACGCACTGTAATAAATGTAGAAAATCTTTTAATCAGGAATATGCACTAGGAACTACTGAGGTTTAATATTTATAAAACCCTATCGATTTTCAAATTAGGTTGAGTTTGAGCTACATAAGTGTAAAAATCCCTGAATGCATATTATGGTGAGAAAATTATGCAATATGTGAAGAGTTAAATTCATCATATTCCGACACAATTCAAGTACAAAAGTCGGGAATTTTGTCAAAAAAATTTACTTGAGACCAAAAATAAATTCTTTTACCTTATCCCCTAGTTCCATGAAGAGAATTGCTTATCCTCGCCATTTAATTTTTCTTCGATCGAAATTTTCTTTTATTGTTTTTGAAGTTATTATCAGTTCCCTTTTCATCAGTAATACCACGGAACTTAGCCGGTTTTTGAAAAGCCCGGACTATTTCTTGAGAAAGCGAGGAATTTTGCGCATCCGGCGGTAACACAACAGCCCTATCTGGCCTATATGTACCTTATTGGAGCTGCATTAACCTCACCTAACCTTCTTACAGTCAAACAAAATTTTATAAATTTTTAAACTGCAAATCGCCTTAATTTCAAAGACGTAGTCTTTTTTTATAGTAAGCAATTTCTTATTGGGATTTTTACTGATACAATAAAAATCTCTATAAATATAATACAAATGTATGTATATCCATTGTACTCTTCTTTTAAGAAAGGAATTATTCTTATCATCTCTCATCTCTTCATTTTTTATTTCGTTTTTGTTGAAAATAACAACATAAATATCGTAGCAAAATAATCTCTGACGTAAGATAACTTGCAACATGACTATAACAACATGTTGTATGTATACAAAAAATATTACAATATTTTCTACAAGTATGTATACGTATATATTCATATACATAACGTGGATATTGTGATATTAAGAATTAACAGAATCCCAAGATAATTAGCTTTTAATTGATTACATTTTGTATATGTATATGTAATGTAAAGATATGGGGAAGGGGTTTATCAATAAATAAAATGTGAAAGGTTTTTCCATTCTTCTTCTTATATATATATGTATAAAATTTATTATACATACATATTAACCTTGTATATATCCTTTACTAAAAAATTAAAACAATAAAAATGAAAATTGTAAGATTAACTTGTAATATTGAAACAGAAAAAGGAGATAATGAGAAAAATCATAGATTTAAAAATGTTAAATCCGACGAGGTTCTTTGTACACAGGTATATATATACAGATGCATGCATACGTATGTACGTGTATATATACAAACTCATGTAAAGCAATAATATTATATAAATGTGTTGGCACATTATAAACATATATTACAAGAATTATTTATTAAATTTCTATGTAAGGTGAAATATAATTGAGTATGTACAAAAAAAGTATAGCTGTGTTGAAATATTTTCAACATCACATATAAAATGAAGAAAACTAATTAAAGTAAATGCATAAATTTTTAATGAAATTTTATAAATTGCCTTGTTTTTTTAAGGATTTTTTATTTTGCAATCTTACATTTTATTAAAAATTTTTAAGCGGTATTTATAAATTATTATATAAAGTCCGATAGCACTCTTAATTCAGTAAATCCTTTTGTCAGTAAAATGCAGGTTCGTAACAATATTTTACAATGAAAAAATTTTAAATATTTCACTATTATAAAATAGGTAGACCCTAGTAATGAGCTCTCAACTATATGAATTGAATGCTTGTATTATTTAGTCAATTTTTAATATTCTGGCACCTTAATGTTCTTACTGCTAGATCAGTCAAAAAGACCTGACTCATTACGGTCAACTACGGACATAAAGAAAATTATTAAAATGGTTCCCGTTACCGCGACAATTCTTTGTAATTGCCAATATCGTACGATAAAAAAAATTTATAAGTACAATTTCAACAGGTAATTAAAAATCAAAAAATTTTCTTGATTTGTTTGTTAGTGACCGTCAGTCTCTCAAAATAATAAAAAAAAATATATTCTAAGGGTGACTGACGAGGCCATTTTTAAGTAGCTCTTTGTCAGGTAGAAGTGCCTGTCAAAACAATTTTGCAGTTTATTTTGTCTTGCTATTTTTGACTAGTAAAAACCTATTCAAAAAAAACTTACAAATTTCGTGTTAGTGAGATTTTTAATTAGTATTTTCTGAGATAATAATTAAACAATTTTGTGAAGCTTGATGGCATCTCTAACAAGGAATCATATAGAATTTCAATAAAATATTTCGAGGACTGCTATTAAACCTTAAATAGTAAGAGTTTGACGATTAAATTTATAATTAATCTCCTAATATGCGGTTAAACTTCGTGAATATAAAAACAGCTACTGTTTACTGATTACATTTTTGATGTTGTATGACAATTTCTTAAACGACTATCTAAATAACACGTAATTTAAATATGGAATTGTGAGTTTTGCAGTGAAAAGTCGTTACTTGAAAAAATTTGCAATTATCACAATTAGTTTTAGAATTGTCTCTGGAAGAGATACATGAACGCATTCAAATACACCCATAAATCGAAATAAAATTGAACAACTTTAAGAAGAATATTTATATATGTATATATACATGTCTATATTACAGGCTATTATTATTATTATTGCAGACTCATTATTACAAACGAATTGCTAAAATTATAATACCCAAACAAACGAAGCTTTTACAGGTATAGAAATCGCAAATCCCTAATTCCATATCTTTTTTAATTTTTTTTTTTTGGTATAATGGTCTTCTTCAACAGAAAACCTTTTTAACACGCTTATGTACAATATTTTAAGCATTTGTTTATAACTTTTATTTTTAACCCAACTCAGAGGGTTTTTTTTTCCATTTTAAATCGGCTTACATATTCTATCAAAAAAAAAATCACATTAACATAAGGAATTAAATATTTTTTTTTCACCAAATTTTACTTTATACACACGTATACTTAAAAGAAAAAATCCCCTACTTATTAACATCATATTCTTTTTGAGTACCTAATGTGTTTTGTTATTGAGGAAAACAGCGATTATATTTAGCACATTTCCATTCACATATATCTGTATATTCAATTCATTTTAATTAACATGAACCTTTGAATCTATATTTCAAAGACTTAAGGCTACTATACACAGAATGGAAATTATTCAAACCTAACCTTCTTATTATCTAATTCCATGGAATTTAAGTCAGTCGGCTATATCAACTCTATCGTAATAGTGTGTTTATATGTATGTAATTCCATAATAACGAACTTAATTTCCTCTACTTTACTGCAATATTTTTCGACTGCATTATTTTTAATATAGAGAAAATATCATAAACAAATCTTTGTAAAAAGTTTACTATATAAATATAAAAATTATTACACAATTTTAGTAGAAATATAGAGAAAATTTTATGCAACTCACAAACTTACAAAAATCAATTTCTAAAGTACACACACAAGTTATAGCAAACTTTACAATTTCAACTTAATTTTCCTGCACAACAAACCGAGAAAACTACAAACACTACATACCACATAAAATTTAAAAAAAAAAAGACTACAATAAAAAAAAAAGGATACAAGAAGATTAGAAAAATTTTTCTATCCTTTTTTTTTTAGTTTTTTTTTTGGCAAAAAACATTGTACAGCTTGAGTAAACTACACTGGAAAAAATAAACTAAAAAAATCATAAATAGAAACAATAATAAGATACGATAAAAAAGAAGAACATAGAAGAGAGAGAGAGAAAGAGAAAGAGTAGAATATAATCTTTCAAAGATATAGGGAAACATATATTAATCAGGAAGCATGATATCATTAAAACTACTGCGGAAGTTATACCAGAAAAACAAAAAGATTATAGCAAATAATAATTTCTTTAGTAAATAAAAATTGCAACAAGAATTTTTTTAAAGCATATTTTTTGTTTTCTCTATTTTTTTTGTAAATATTTAAGGATTTTTTAAAAAAAGGATTCACATATAGATGGAAAATTAAACTATTAAAATTAAAGGACATAAAAGCTAGAAAAATATTTTAGTAATTTTTTCGGATTATTTAAAAATGTAAGAATTTTCAAAGTCTTATGCAGGTTGGCAAGGTTATTTTCAATTGTAAATAGAATAGAAAAGCTCAATAGCTCTAACATGTACCATTATCCATAAAATGCTAAGAAATTTCTCTATATTTTATTGTAATAGAAGTTAAACTTAAAGGTTATGAATTAATAACATTTTGGCAATTCTAAACTCGGCACATTTAAACAATATTTTCGAATTAATACCAATTAAATATTTTAGTTTAGTCAATCTGATTCTCTCATCTTCATTCTTTCTAATCAAAAACTCTTCTCTCATCAATACTGATTCTCGTATCTCAAACTTGATTTTTAAAATTCTTATGACAGAAACTTTATTAAAAATTTTACCTCTTTATTTTTAAAATTACTAAAAAGTTTTCATTATTGAAATTTTTTTACTCTACTTTCCCATAAATCTTCCAACTGCCTAATATAATTGTTTTGACGAATGTTCAACTAATTTACATTTCATTATACAAATACAAACAAATTCATCAAAAGAAATATTACAATAAGAATACATATAAAGACACAAAACGTATCCTTTTCCAAAAATAACAAAAAA